TGTTAAACTATTCGCCCACATTTAAGCTCATGCTACCGAATCGATTTTAAAAAACCAAAAATTGTTCGAATCATATTAAATGGGAATGATACTGATTATAGTTTTAGGTGAAAATCTACCGAGCCGTTTACTTAACTGTTGAAAACAAAATTAAGCCGATTTTCAGGGAACTTTTTTTGGTGATATATATCATGGCCTTATAGAACTTATTGAAATATTACGGCCTTACGATAAGTTGTTTAATTTTGAAAATTCATTAAAGTTTGAGAAAATGATTAGTTTTTTGACGTTTGTTAAAACTAATTTAGACGATTTACTTGTTTATCTATTTGTTACTAATTTAGACGATTTACATGGTATAGCGATAGAGTAAAACTTTAAAAAGAAAAAAGTTCCATGAAAATTGGCTTAATTTTTTTGCAACACTAAACCATTAAAGTCCTACGGAAACTAGTTCAAGTATAAAAATTATTTATTTTTGAAAACTTTGCTTTTAGAAAATACTCCGACCGGATTAACGTGTTCTATTTTTAATTTGTGTAATAAATCCACTTCGAATACTTTGAACCACTCATAAATTAATTTATTTATCATGGATTAATACGATTATTTACACATATCGGGAAGTTTATGTAACTTGCCTTAAGACAAAATACCAATACCACCTAGTTTATTTTTTATTTTTTGATTTTAATAATATTAATAAACAGGTGATAAAAAATGGATAGTAAAAACATCCATTGCTTTGTTTTACAACACTTTAAAAACGACCTAAAATTCTTTACTGCTCTACACTAGAATACCCCCTTAAGTTCTAATGCGGTTTTAACTTATTAGTAAGCGTGAATTATTTCCTGCATTATTATTGTTACAATACAGCTAGTTTATTATACTAGTGAATATCACAGATATGTACTTAAATATATATGTAAACTTCTTAAGTATGTGTCATTTTGCCTTAAGGCACGTCGCATGAAGTGTAAATAATCGACTTAATCGATTAGATTTCAAATTTGGATCTGCCTTTCCTAAAAACTAATCAGCATCACGTCTCCCCGTCAATACGATTCGAATCATTTTTGAATTATTCAAATCCGTGTTTGCAAAATCGTCGACGAAATTTTTTCTAAGGTAGGCCAAAATGTTCAGAAACCTTCGAAATGTAAAGAGATGAAAAGTACTCATTTATTATCTTTATAAAAATATCTGATAATTTGAAATGTCGACATGTCCAATGATCATTTTTGGCCGCCATATATTAAATTTTTTTAAAGTTTTTTTTAGTATCTGCTCTATCTCCCAAAAATTTAATCATTTCTTCATTTCGTCATTATAAATAAAATGTTTTTTAACGTCCCGTAGGGTAGTTATAGCAATGGGCCGAAAATCGAAAATGAAAATTTCCGATTTGAATGATCTAAAGGGCGTTCAATTTGTAATGATTGGGAGAAGAGGTGATTAGTTTCTGGCAAAGGCAGGTCCAGCCAATTCAAAGATACAGACCTAAATGTGCAAAAATTGGCCGTTTTTGGAAGAACTAAGCGTCCGATTTCAATGATTCAAAGAACTTTCTGCTTGTTTCAACAAAATTGCTTTTTGAAAAAAAAAATTGTTAAAAATTTTTTTTCAATATTTTTTTTTGTATATTAAAAATAATTCAGATTTTAATTTTAATTCTGACTAAAGTTCTAACATACTTAAAACATACAATTTCAACTTTGCAATTCAATTTATGTTTTTCTTATAAATATTAGACAATGTTATAATATTTATAAAAATCTATTTGAAAACATTTAATATTCCTCGAACATATCATCACGGTACGGGAAGGTCCAGCAATTTGCCTTAAGGCACGATGCCATACACCAACTAGTTAAATTTTTCAAATCGGACGCTCCGTTCTTCCAAAATTGTATCCGCACATATTCACACAAAGATTCATTTTTTCTATTCGAATGTTTTTTGAATTATTCAAATCGGTTGATCGGTGTACCCGAAATCGTCGACGAAAATTTATATCTACACACACACACATACATCAATTTTTTCTAAGATATGCCAAAATGTTAAGAAACCTTTCAAACATAAAGATATGCAAAGACTTGGCTTTAATATTATCATTGAGATTTAATTTTACAATTTGAAATATTTTTACTAGGTACTATAATTAAAACAATATTTATTTCTTAAATAAAAATATTTATATCTTATAAGATTACATCAGTTAACATCAATTACAATATTTTGTTTTGCTTTCTCAGATGGTTTTAATCGCAATAAATTGGCTGTCTGAATTTCTGAATCGTCTTCAGCTACACTTGATCCAGCTAAAAGCAAATGCATTGCGCCTTCAAGATTAGCCAATTCTAAACTTAACTGCTCTTCTTCGGATATTCTACTTCCTAATCTAATTATCATTTTTATAACATCAGGTGGAAATTGATTTAAGCTATTATCATGTACATCAAGAAAAACATTGGCAACATCAATCAATGTTCTCGTGAACCGGTGGTCTCCGATATATTTTATGAGAAACCTAAGAAGTGCTTTAACTATCTTCATATTTCTACCTGCAACAGCAGCATGCAATCCTTTTCTTCGCAACAATTCTTGCATCAACGATACAGTCACATGTGGATTTTTGTTAACAACATAAGGCTGCAAAACAATATCTAATGCTTTTGAATATTCAAATTTCCTCAAACAAGTATCATGCTTGGACTGTAATTCTTTTAATGTTTCAGGCACCACCGTATCAACTAAAGTTGAATGTGTGTTAGATGCATATTTATATGATTTAATCTTGCGTTCTGCTTTAGTAGCTTTGACTTTTTCGTCCCTTCTATGAATTGAAACTAAACCATCAACCATTCCAGCTACTAATGTTTCATCATTTTTAGAAATTGCCAAACTAAGTACTGCACTTGGATATACAATTGTGTGTATTACATTATATGTAGAAATATCATAAACTTTTACATGGCGATCTAGGCTCCCGGAGAGTAAACGTTTATTTTCAGAAGCTAACCTGAGACAAGTGACTGTTTTATGATGTTGTATTATTTTAGCTAAAAGACGACCAGCTAGAACATCCCAAACCTTGAAAGAAGTCAATGATTAATAAAGGTATTAAAACTAATAATATTTTATATTTTAATATTATATATCTACTATTCAAACTAAATCTATTTTAAAAATTTGTATGTATTAGATATACCTTTATATCTGTACCTCCTGCAGTAAGAAAAATACCACCAGTTGGTAAAAATAAAACTGATTCCACAGGATTGCCATGATCAACTTTTATTACAGATTTTGTTGAATCTCTATCATCCCACATATTTATTATACCATCATATCCACCAGAAAGTAATATATTTGGACTTACTGGACTACAACATCCTGCTCTTATGTAATCCTTGTGTCCAATGAAGTTTGTAATAGATTTTTCACTTGGGATATCCCAAAGTTTTACACTTTTATCATCCGAAAAGCTCGCAATTTGATTCATATTTGATGTAAAAGATGTTCTATGTACCTGGAATTTTTAATAAATTATTTTAATATAACTCATTAACATGTGTTATTTAATTAACTAACTAACATACTGGTGCTGTATGTCCAGAAAATAAACGTAGCATGCTTTTAGAACTGACATCAAAAAGTTTAACATGTGATTCTTCTCCACCAGCACATAATAATTTTCCATCTTTTCTAAAAGTTCCACCATAGGCACTTTCACGAAATCGTGATATATTTTTTGCTACCAGTTTAGTAATTGGATTATACAACTGCACTCGTATTGAACAAGTAACTGCAAAGTAATATGGTTCTACTGGAGAAAAGTCTATATGATCTATAGCTCCAAATTCTTTAACTAATACTGGTACCTACAACAGAAAATAAAATGGTAGTGAAACAAGAAATAAAATGTAAATAAAATAAAAACTAAGAATAATAATTAATTAATACCCCTATTTTTTTCCAATAAATTGTATCATCTGTATCAATAGGTTTCGATTTTATATATATTTTACTATTCGTTTTCTTAAAAGATGCCATTCTGACATTTATTTATGTATATTTTAATTATTTTAGTTATTTATTATTTTGTAATAAAAATATTTATGATGTGCACGTGAAAGAGGTTATGTTTAGCACATGTAGTTTGACGTTTACAAAAGTTATGGCGTTGAATCACCGAACACTATTCAGCCGTTTCTCATTCGTTAACGCATCAACTATTGTAAAGGTGCGCCCTCACCTATCGAACGAGCACGAACGAACATGACGAACATGAAAATACAAAGAAAAACGATCACGAACGAAGGCAAATCATTCCAAACAATCTTGAACAAACGCTTCAAAGCAGTGAGGGCTTGAATATACTCTTCCTAGACAATATAATAATGATACTCTACTTTTATCTATGGCTTGAACGTCCGCAAAACAATGCATGACTACTATAACATCAGAAAAGAAAAATGTTTGTCTACATTCGTGTACATACGAGCACGACACTGCACATACGAGTTCAAACATAAACAAACAATTTTCTTTAATGTACCGACAAGTTGCGCAACATTGCTCGCTATGTTTGCTCGTGTTTGTTGTGGCTCCACACTATGCTCAACAGGCATAGATAAAATAAATGTGAACAGGTTTATCATTGCATGTTCATTTGCATTCATAGATAAAAGAAGAATATATGCACTCATAGATGAAAAAGAGCATGTTTGCATTCATGCTATGTTTATTTATTTATAGATGAAGGAGGAGTATTTATGTTTTTATCCATTATTTATCTATGACGTAAATGGTTGCAAAAAGCGTCAATGGCGCTAGTGTTTCTTTGTGAGTTGTGAGAGTGTCTGTCTAGGCGAAGCTCACGTTTCTTGGTTCTATGTACAGTTCAGATACAGATACACATTTGGCAGTTTGACATCGTTTTAAATTCGTTTTATTGTCGTGTGTTTATTGTGTATGCCGTATATTCACTTTCACCATGAGCTCGAAGCCGACAAAAACTTCTGTTACATCTACGAGCTCGGTGCAAAGTATCACGTCTCCTACTGCTTCTTATACCTCGGCTAATTTTCGTCCTACTAGTCCTAAGCTGCACAGTCGTTTGCAGGAAAAAACTGATCTGCAAAATTTAAATGATCGCTTTGCATGTTATATAGATCGGGTAAGGCATTTAGAAGCTGAAAATTCACGCTTAAGTAGAACACTTCAGTTATCAAAAGAGACTGAAACTAGAGAAACCTTAACTTTGAGGACTACATATGATAAAGAACTGTCGGATGCTCGAAAATTGTTAGATGACACTGCCAGAGACAAGGCAAAACTCGAAATTGATGCTCAGAGATTATGGGAGGAAAATCATGAGTTGAAAACAAGGTTAGTTACACATGTTATTTATTGCTTATATTAACATCTTGGGTGAAAAATAATATAAAAATTATCTAAATGTTTATTTATTTAACCCTTTTCCGTGCCATTTAGCCCCACATTGGGCTCAAATGTTAGACATTAACACTTGTTATGCTCAAGAAAGGTACCAATACGAGACAAAGTGTAAATACCCCATATATAGACACCTTTCCACAGTACCGACTATCTATTTACAAACCTGGCCTGGATACCATAATGGAATGTAACATATTAATGTAATCTTATGTTATTTAGGCATTCATATCTGCATACACTTGGCACACTTGGCATTCATATCTGCATACAGGCACTTATGCTTACACACACCCGAACATTCTTTTATATGTAAATTCAAATACACTATAGTAATGCTAACAATTTCTAATTGAATTTTTTTTACATTAATATTAATTAGAGAATTAAAAAACACTATAATAGTCCCTCTGTTCATGTGGCAGTTCAATATGTAGTTTTTTATGGTTTTTGAAGTCTGCACTATGCGGGTTAATCTCAGTCCTCGGATCCAGCATATCAGGTTCAATCACACCATAAATTTTTTTTCTTGAGTGCACAAAGTGCTTTAGATATTTCAAAATAATTTTTTGCACTCTATTCAGTTTATTTTGTGATAGTTCTGTATAGGATTCTAGAATAGTTCTAACAAGGGTAAAGTACAAAATGTAGAGTCCATGTTGATTACACCTTACGAAGCTAAGAGTTCGAAGAGCTTGAAGGGTGATTTTATTATGTTGTGCTCCAAAGTGTTTCATGAAATTGACACAGTTCATTTGAATTACAGGATTGACATAGAACGCGTTTTTTAACATTCAACATATTAATCTATTAATTTCACATTAATGGTATAATTTTACATCAGTTATTTAATTTGGTAATATCTTGTTGTAAATATAGTATATTGTTATCAGAAAATATCTACAGTAGGTGTTTATAATATAAAACAGTGAGGTATGAAGAAAACATAAGATATTTTGTTTCCAAATATATATTTACATAAATATATATAAAATATAAATAAAATTATAAATTAAATATGGAATGATACTAAACGAATGAATGATTAATTTGAAAAGATTGCATTCAAATATGTTAATACATCACTCTCATTTAGTAAATTAAACTTCTATGGGGAATGACTCTAACAAAATATAATTTGAAATTCATTTTAAATATCTTATTATAAATAATCAACACATGTTTATTTTATTACAAAATCAGCAAAAGGAGCTTGGTTCAAAAACCTACAGTAAATTTGCTATCTCAAAATAATTTATATTTAAAATAATAGTTTATCCAAATTTATTTTATGGTACTAATATTCAAGTACTAATTTTGCGGTAAAACTAGTTAAGTATAACTAATTTATATGTCTACTTCAATTTAATTTGAAACTTCAGGCTAGACAAGAAATCAAAAGATTTAATCTTAGCCGAGACTGATGTTCGAAAGTATGAGAGCAAATGCTCGGAACTCAATGGTAAATTCAATATGGCTGTTTTAGAATGCAATAAAGCAATAGATGATCGCAAGGTACTTAATATGTCATTTTGTATTATTGTATGAAATGTTTGATAAACATAATTATTTAGCATTAATGTTATTTTTATATTTTTAAGGAATTAGAGAGTGAGCTGAATAACCGAAGAAATCAATTAGAAGAACTTCGCAAAAATCTAGAAGAAGAAATATTAGTTCGTGTAGATGTAGAAAATAATTTGCAGAGTTTGAGGGAGGAATTAGCTTTTAAACATGAGGTAATTATAATTTCATTTTTTCATTTGGATGGAATTTTTTTTGCAGAATATAATAATTGTTTTGCATTTTGCTAACACTTATTCTTATAGGTCTATCAGCAAGAACTCAAAGAAACTAGTATGCGACGTAAGGTTGAATTAAGTGAAATTGATGGAGATCTTGCAAAACAATATGAAGCAAAAATGCAAGAGACTATGCAGGAACTTCGTGATCAGTATGAGGAACAAATTAGTTCAAACCGCGCTAAAATTGAAGACATCTATAAACAAAAGGTGAACATATGTCAATGCACTAATTTTTCATCTGGTTTATGCAAAATTGCATATTTGTCTTTCAAATCTATTACCTTAAGGTGAAAATTAGCAAATTGTAATGTACATGTACATTTAAAAACATAATAATCTATTTTAAATTAATGAAATATTAACGCCATACCGTAAAATTATAAGCATTATTATTTCTTTATTTATTTTTAGATCAAAAATTTAGAAGGTGTGGCTACTCACAACAGTAGTGCTGCTACAGCAGCAGCTGAAGAATTAAATCAAGCACGAACTAAGATTGAAGGTTTATGCAATCGTGTAAATGAATTGGAGGCTTCTTACAATGCTGCTAATGTAAGTCTAACATTATTCATTTATACACTTAAATTTGTGTATGTGTATAGTTAATAGATACTCACTGGTTGTATATATATATATATATATATATATATATATATATATATGTTTAATTGAGTTTAATATTCGGGCGTAACATCAATAAAAATATTTCAATATCTATATTCATTCATATTTCATATTCATATTTCAATAAATATATTTTTATTGATGTTACGCCCGAATATTAAACTCAAATTAAACATATATATCAACATCAAATTCAAGACTATTCAAAAATATATATATATATATATATATATATATATATATATATTATATATATATGACACCAATTTTCACTATTTGCGCAGCATATGTTTTATAATTGTTTCATATTTTATGAATACAGCAACGCAGCAAAGAGTTAGAAAAAACGCTAGAAGAAGCACATAGGCGTCATTCTGATGATATGCATCAAGTAGAAGCAGAATTGCGCCTCCTCCGAGAGGAAATGGTTGGGCAGTTGCAGGAATATCAAGATCTGATGGATATTAAGGTCTGCTTAGATATGGAAATAGCAACCTATAGGAAATTGCTAGAAGGCGAGGAAACCAGGTTTGTATTATATGGCAGTAATGTAACATATATGAAAAAATTGGCCAAACGAGTTACCATTTACTCTCTATGCTAAAAATAATAACTTGCAGATATCATTTTATTAGTACAATAAATTAGTGAATTCATGTTCTCATTCGCATCTTTGCTACTTATTTGTTTATTTATTTTACAAGCTCACAGTACAATGATATTATTATAATAAAAGGATTTATATCAATATGTTACTTTTTTTGTTTATAAAATTCATTTATATTTATTTATTTATTATTTTTAGTTAATTCATAATTATTTTTGAAATATATATATATATTAACAATTTTTTATGTATTTTAAAAGTTTAATATTTAAAAACGAATTTAAATTAGAACGAAAAGAGTTTAATACATATAATTGAATTAGGTATGATAAATAAAAATAGAATTATAAGCATATTTAATTGAAAGTTGTCAATTAAATTGAAATAAATAAATAAATAAATATTTTTGCTTTGAACAGATTAAACACCAGCCAGGCAACATCCAGCACAGGTGGAAAGCGTAAACGCACTTTACTGAAAGAATCGCATGAAATCAGTCTTAGTGAATTTACTGAACATGTAATCTGCAAAGGAGATATTGCAATAATAATGAAATGTGACGCAGAAGGTCGTTACATTAAGCTGACAAATAATGGGATTAAAGTATGAAATTTTTTTTGCCCCACCCAATTTGCGTGCACTATATTACATATTCACAAAATAAAATATACTAATTTCTTATAAAATTTATTTCAACTAATTGGTTATGATTTTTATGTAATTCTCCTTTTGACGTTGGGTCAATTCGTTTAGTTGGTTTTAGCACCCGTATTCAAAATTGTTTTATATATCAATATTTTAACTTAAGGCAGGCTGCAAAAACCTCTCGATAGGTGTAATAATTGACTTGATCAACCGAAATTGAGATTTAAATATTTAGATGAAATTAGTTCCACTCTTTATTTCGGAAATCAAGTTTTTGCTTTCACTTCAATCTAAACATCACAATTTCCAATTGGATTTTCTCATTTTCTCAAACACATTTAAATTATCTATCTATCTAAGACACAAATTTTGATTTAATAATTTATCAAACTTCAATGAGTTTTTAAAATTAAACTACTTGTCGTAAGGCCGTGATATTTCAGTAAGTTCTATAAGACCATGATATCCATTACAAAAAAAAGTTTCATAAAAATTGCCAAAAAAAAAACAGTTAATTACAAGGAAACGGTTTGGTTGCATTCACCCAAAACTAATCAGTATCATTCTGAACCAATATCTTTCGAACAGTTTTTGTTTTTCCGAAATCGATTCAGGATTTTGAGCTAAAAGGTGGACAAAAATTTTGAAATTGTGCCAGCGAATCTTTAACAAAACTTAATCAGGTCGATTTTCAACCAATATTTTTTGGTTTATGAATTTTTGTTTTCGGATTATGAATATGGACTTGCATTGATTAGTTTTCAGCGACGACTGGCCGTGCCATTTTCTAAAAATTCTCAGAAACGTGTAAATATTTTTGTCAATGTTTTAGTGGTTGTTCGTGCAACATAAAAGGCAAAGTTCCACTTGCGACTACTTTATCTTAGTATTGGTGGGTTATTTTGTATGTATTCAATCTTGTAAGATTGGTGAAAAAGAGACTTTTTTGATGGTCAAAACTCAATATATATTTATTTAGTTTAGCTCTTTTTTCCCTTCCATTATGGCACTAATACTCTGTTTTATACATTACTTTGTAAAATGTGACATGATTGTTTTTAATTAGGAAGTTTTTCTTGGTGGCTGGAAACTTATCCAAAAAGCAGGTAATGCTGAAACTGTGTTCAAATTTCACCACACTCTTAAACTCGATCCTGGGGCAAGCACTACTGTTTGGTCACTGAATGAGCAGCAACATCATGAACCTTCAAATAATATAGTTATGAAAGGAAAGAAATGGCTTGTTAATGACATCATTTATACATCTTTGACAAACAGTAATGGAGAGGTAATTAATCGCATGCATTATTCATTCTCTCTGGAATGTATTATTTACATTACTATACTTGCATGTAATTTTTTTTTGTGCATTTTTTTTTTTCAAATAATTTAATTAGAATTTTGAATAATTAATATGAAATTGGTAATTCGAAAATCAAATGTTTTTTAAATAGGAAGTGGCAACATTTGAACTAGTGCAAAATAAGTTGGCCAGTCGTTCTTCGCGCATGCAACATTCTGGACAAACCAAATCACTTGGCTCCCAGGAACTTCATGAGCAGGTATTTATTACAAATTTATCTTTTTAACTGTACACTTTGTTGCGATTGAACCGAGTGAAAGAATTTTTTTTATGTTGGACTGTTGATATTATGTTTTAATTTCTTAGTTTTACAAATTGAAATATTTATTTAACAATATGATGTGCTTATAAGGATCCTTCTTGAACAACACACACATATACAAAACACTCATAGTTGTCAGTATTCTTTGTAAAATTTTGTTGTCATGCTTGATTTTTCAGGTGATATTTTTATTAAATATCAATATTTGACAAATTAAATTGAACATTTGTTTTGCTAATTGTGGTGGTAAAAATCGTTACTAAATTGGTGTTGGTGTTGCAGGCTTGTGATTCATTTAAAAATGTTAGACTTATTTCACTTCGACTATTTAATTACCTTCAGCTCTTTATCACATTTGCAATCAATAATTATTGATATGATGATTAATTCTAAAATTTTTTTTTAATTAATACTATAACTTATAATGTCATTTCAGGAAGATCCACAACAGCCAGCTCAAGAAAAATGTCGAGTAATGTAAAACTTGATACAAATTTATAAAATTTTCATTTTGAAAAGAAAATAACATAATTGAAGACTTATAAAACAACCAAGTGAAATATGTTCAGAGATTTTAGTTAATTTTTTTTAATCAATTTTATTTGACTGTCTAATATGTGTTTTGATCATAATACAAGTGCGGCATTTTCTATAGTTAAACGCGTATTTAAAAGAGATTAACTCATGTTGTCATTTTATGTATTTGTATCTCAGATATTAAGCTCAGTTCAGGTTATAAATATCTTAAGAAATAATTTTACGAAAAAAAACTATTTAATTGTTCAATATATATTGTGATATATTTTGTGATATAGGCACTAAATTGTTAATTAATAAGTTATTGTGATATTAAAAAGATTGTATCATTACATAGATTTATATGTTAATCTGTAATCATAAACTATCAACTTCAATCAGAATCATTGTTTCTATATTATCAACCACTCCAAACACATTCCATAATCACAACACTCATGGCCCAACAACACCAATTACATTTCAATGTATACAATATTCTTTTATCTATGTATATACAATATCTGCATATAACTGAAATTCTTGTTTAGAGAATTTTTTTTTTTATTAATTTAATTCAAAACATTATTTTTATAAATTATTGTAAAGTTATAACTGTAAACTACTATTAGCTTTTTTATCACAGAAAGCGAATAATTAAATAGTGTGTTGAAACAGTAATTAAAATTTTAATTTTAAAACTGAATTGTGTTTATTTAGTTTTTTTTTCATCCTTCACCATTTAAAAAAAGAGGTATTTATTAACTACTAAGAAACAGTTTTTTCTAGTATGTAAGATCGGCTACAGGATATGATGAAGCATATACTTAATCAAGTATTTTAAGGTACCATATTAATTTACTTATAAATTTAAATAATATATCTGTTTTCAGTTAAGTTTATCTTAAGAAAAATAAGACTTCATATTTTATGTTTGATAAAAAATAATGGTATTTTTTTTTTACTGACAATGAGAGCGAAAAATCACTAAAAGTTGTTACTGTATGCTTTTCATGCGCTGTGTGAGTAGAAGTTAACATGAAAGTAGCAAGCAACCATAGAACTATTTATAGAATTCAGCATCAATAGAGTGAAGCACTTCAGTGATCAGGTGATAATTATCTAAAGATATGCTTAATAATTCAGATTCTTATTTTAAACTAGTTGGCATTGGTATTTTGCCTTGAAGCAAGTTACATGAACTTCTCGATGTGTAAAGAATCGACTTAATCAATAAAAACTAAATTATTGTATGAGTGATTAGAAGTATTCCGAGTGGATTTATTACACATGATTGAAAGCGAACGAACACGTTAACTCGGAGTATTTCCTAAAAGCAAATTTCCAAAAATCAATTTTTATAATTGAACCAGTTTTCGTAGGACTTTAACGGTTTAGTATGTTCATTAAGACCAATCACTTTGTCGTTATACCAAGTAAAACGTCTAATTTTCTCAAACTTTGATGAATTTTTAAAATTAAACTACTTGTCGTAAGACCGTAATATTTCAGTAAGTTCTATAACACTAAAATTAATCAGAATCATTCCCAACTAAAATCTTTCGAACAGTTTTTGATTTTTTAAAATCAATTCGGTAGTATGAGCTTAAATGCGGACGAAAAGTTTAACACTGACAAACGATAGTCCCCTTTGAGATTTGCCACACCTCGTATAGCGAATGGCTTTTAAATTTTTTAAATCGGTGCAGCCGTTTTTGAGAAAACGTCGATTTACGACAAAAAATCTGTTCACATACACGCACACACATACACACACACACTTTTTCGACAATTGATCTGTGGGAAAATGGCTTGAAAAGTCGAGTAAACATAAAATTAGCGAATCGGATTTTTTATGAAAACATAAACTCTTCTTCGAGAAGTTAAAAATATATTAATTTTTAGAATCTAGAGAAAGGTTAAGGCATATTATTCACTAAGATAGAAAACGTATTTTGTGACATAAATAAACAGAAGTATGGTTTCAAAATAATGCGTGTTAATAAAACATTAAATAAAAATGGCGGACATTTGAATCACGGAAACGCTCGTTTTAGTTGTTTTTTATGTTTATATATCGGCTTTATTAATATCGTGTTTTTTCTTTTTACATATAGTTGAATAACGGCATATTAGATTTAATAAGAAATATGGTTTCAAAAAAAAATAATAATAATAATGTTTCCAGCCAAACGCTTTTCCGTTCACAAGCGGAAAACAAGTTGGCAACTGAAAATTCTCCAAAACGGCGCGTAATAGAAATATTTAAAAATATCAGAAGTTGGAAATGCGCAAAATCCACATTAATTAGAGCCTTAAAAATATAGTAATAAAACCAGAGTTTTAAAGGGTTTTGCATTTTTATATATATTTATGTGCCATTATAATGGTAAAGGAATTGAAGACTAAGTAAATAATAGCATCTACATAAAAAAAAGTTTGCGGATTTTAAATGACTATTTGTGTGCTAATGATGAGATCGTTAAAGCAAATCCTAGTTTTGAATCGTTTGTAACATGATCAGTTAACAAAATAGTGTAAAAAGATATTTTCATATTTATGCTAATATAACATTGTATATATAAATATATATGTAATATTATTTAATATTCTTATTAATATGCTGCGCGTTTTAAAGTCATACATTTCGAAAACACACCTGTAATGCAACATGACTTTATCATTAGAAACAAGACCTTTGTTTATAATCCTATGGACATCATTGTTGGCAAAATATAACCTAAAACCAAGTTAATGTGTCACAAAGTGATTTTTTTTTCATAGCTTTTGTAATTCATGTGGTCTGTTATATTATTGAAAAGCACTTTTTATCATATACATACATTTTTTCAACGAAGCTTTAATAAAGAAGATTGTAAATCATGGCAGATGATCAGAAGTATATTAAAACACTTGCTATTGCCACATTGGGGTTAGGCTGTGCATATATATTAACAAAATATAGAACTAATTTAAGATCCGTGCTACGAAGATTGACAAACCGAAACTCATTGAAGTTTAAATCGATAAAAGTAATTAACACAGAGGCTGAATGCAAATTCGTTGTAGAATTATTGATGAGGTTTGTGGAAAAATTTTTGGTTTATTAATTTTCAATATCATATTATAAATTATTTTTTCAGGCAATGTTGTGAGCTTGGGGTTCTCGGATTTGATTGTGAATGGGTAACAGTAGGAGGAGCTCGTAGGCCTATTGCTCTTTTACAACTGGCATCACATGATGGTTTTTGTGCGTTATTTAGATTATGTCGTTTAAAGAAAATTCCACCAGAATTAAGGGTAATAGTAGAGTCTTGTAGCATCTCTACAAATGCATGATTTATTTGAAAATTAGTATGTAATCACAACTTGTACAAATGAAATCTTACTTAAGTGATCAATGTATTTTAAGTATTGAATCATTTGCAATATTTTATTTATTGAGACGTTAAATATTTTTTATCATATTGGGGTCAATTTAAATAGACTCTTTATAATTGCTGTCAATAATTTTTTACAAATCGTATTTTTATAAGGAAAGCAATATACTTATTGAAAACTTTACTTTTTTTAATCTATTTTTATCATTGTGTGTTACTGTCTTGTAAATGTAAATGACTTTATTTCTTGGTTTATTGTTCATTTCTAATCTTGGTTTATTGTTTTATTTTATATAGGCATTGCTTGAAGATAACAATATTTTAAAAGTTGGAGTGGCTCCTATAGATGATGCCAGATACCTAGCAAATGATTTTTCTATTCAAATGGATGGTACATCAGACTTGAGACATTTAGCAATTGCAGCAAATAAAAAGCCTCAAGGTTAATATTAAAATTATATATTTTGCTGAATCTGAAATTGTGTTTTATGATTTAATATGTTGTAGGCTTAGCTAATATGTCTTCAGATATTCTTGGAGTGACACTTGATAAAAACTGGCGCATCAGATGCTCTGATTGGGAAGCTGAAAATCTAACGAAAGCACAGCAAGAATATGCAGCTGGAGATGCTTTAGTAGCCATAGAACTATTTAAAAAGCTTTCTTCAAACTTACCAAATAGTATGTATATGTGTATATACTTAATTATTATATAATAATTTATTTTATTATATTTGTTTATACTTGTTTACTTGTATGAAGGTTCCTTGTTATTTGCAAAATCAAACTATTCAAGGGCTGCAGATATTTGTAGAAATTTTATAAACATTAAATATAAGCAAAGGTCATCTCAAGCAAAAGTTCAAAGTGGATTTGGTGAGCCTCATAAATCACAAAGGTATCATATTTGAAATTTTATTTTCAAACAAATTCTAATTTGATTCAATTTATATTGCTTATTAGAAATGGCACCATATCCAAACCCTATTATAGAAATTTTTCAACTCGAAAAAAACCTTTGTATCACAACTGTTATTTAGAAGCACCAGATGGAGAATTATTGTGCACTTGTGATAGAAAGAAGGCAGAATGGTAAGTTCAGTTACTTAAATAATATCTATATATTTAAAACTACATGTAAATGGCATTTTGCCTTGAGGCAAATTGCTAAAACATCCAGATATGTCTAAATAATCAATTTAATGAGATTTATTGATTCAATTTAATTTTTGCATTATTACTAAAAACCAATGAATGCAAGTTTCAATCGATATATTTCAAACAATTCGATCAATGATATCGGTAATGAATTAATTATAGTGCACCAACAATTATAGTGCATTGTATGTTCTGAAAGCGCCGCACATTATTTCAAACTTTGATAAATGTTAGGATGTTAGTTTAGATTAAGACCATGTGAACTCTGGTGCCATTATAAGCTTCAATATAAATGCAAAAAAATCCTTAACTTTTAATTATGAGGAAACGGTTTGGATGAAATTTGCCAAAAAGCGAATTAGTACGAATCTCTATTGATATTTTTCTAATGGTTTTTAAATTATCAAAACTGATTCACGATTTTTTGCAAATAAAAGTGACAGAAAAATGTTGCACTTTTCTAATTCTAAAGTAACGATTTGGCTGATGTTTCCCAAAACTAATCAATGAGTTTTTTTTACGAGGTTTATCGATTGTGTTTTGAATTTTTGAAATCGGTTTAGCCACTTTTGAAAAAAACGGTGAGAAAAAGCCAAATTTTGGCTCACTCCATGAAAACTTCGATTTAATTAGCCACTTTTAAATTAAAACACTAATCGTAGACTCGTAATATAAAATAGTTATATCTTTTAGGTATGTACATAAGCTTTTGGGTGAGATAATATCGGAAGATCCATTTACTGTAAGATTGAAGTTTGAACCATCAGGAAGAGCTGTGGGTGAAGTTGGACAGTATTATACACAAGCTAAAATTAATCAGTGTGTGGTATGCGGTGAACAACATTCATATATTAGAAAAAATGTAGTACCCAGAGAATATAGAAAACTATTTCCAGGTTTGTAGAATTGTTAGTAGATATATAATGGATAAAAAAGCAAAAATTAATTATTGTGAACAAACTTACTTTTGTGGAATTTTGTCCAAGGTCACTTTAGTTCATGATTACAACTTACTTTACATTATAAGGCCACAAAACTGAAGGTCATAATTATTGAAAATGAAACATAACAAAATTTTTAGTAAACCAAAAAGAGTGATTGGTCACAATATTTCTGTCCTCAAAGAGCTTTGTTTGTTCTGAAAATTGTTCAAGGTTTAGCCAGCAATTATAAAGAAAGCCGATAAAGCGAAAACCATGTAGTGGGGAATAAAGATTGATTTCTCAATATGCATGTAAAGAAATTTTATAGATTGTTTTAAAGGAGGTTTAAAAAAATACAATTACAAATCTAAAATTAGCTTCTTTTCCTTTATCCATAACAAATACCTGAATTGCTTTTTTTTAATTAAAATTTCATTTACAAGATGCAACAAAAAATTTGAGGAAGTTTGACCATTAACCGCAATATATTTTAGTGAAAGCCAAATTAAAGCTTCAATTACTTTTTTGATACATGCAAATGAACTGGGATTAATAAAATTATTTGTCCGGATGATAGTGGTTATGAAGGAGCATACATCACATGATGTCCTTTTGCTCTGCACTTCTTGTCATCAAAAGAGCAATATTAGTGATCTTAGTATGAGAAGAAAACTAGGTATTATGTGTGGGGCACCATTGGAATCGGAGGAAGGATCACATCGTTTAATACAATCAGCAGATATGAGGTAAATTATTAAATCAGTTAGAATACAAAAATTTTGTATTTCTATATTGTTAAATAGTATAGAATAAATTTAGAATTCAAATATTTGAAAATAATGATTTTTAATAAATATTCTTTGCATTCACAGACAGTTGAAATCAGCAGCTAGAGCATTACTATATAGTAGTGATATAATTCCAGATTCAAGAAAAGAAATACTAAGACAAATAATTTTACGATCGTATCCAGATTCTGAAATTACTGAAGAGCTTTTGAAACAAGCATGCGATGTTCAAACAACGTAAGTTTGATTAATTTTTTTTCTTGTTGTTTTTCAACTTGAATTTACCCTAATTTGAGTATACATGTGAGCAATAATATACAATTTTTGAATGCTGTTCAAACATGCACCTTGAATAAAAAATCTCAAACTCCAATAATTAAATTAAAAGTTTCATCTAGTAGAACTTTTTTTGTATTAACATTATAATTATTATGTTTAGGTTACCTAATATGTCTTATGAACCTCACGGAAGCAAAGTAGTAGAATATTTTTCAACAAATCCTGATACTGGTGGATTAGTAGGATTAGAACGAATGTGGAGAGAACATTTTCTACAAGTCATGAAACCAGAGTTTTTGCCCCCACTTTGGAGTGTTACACATAATGCGAACAGGTGAATTAAGTAAAATAATTATTTAATAAATTCAATTAATAAGCTTTTGGTACATGTTAATTGAATATTTCACAATTTATGAATTATTTCAAAGTAGTTACATATAAAAATATGATTTCACATGTGTAGTGCATGATTAAATAAATAGATTTGCATGCATAATTGCATGAAAATTTGTATGCATATAATATAAAGTAATATAAATTATTCAGACTAAAAATACGTGCAGAAGAAGGCCGTGTGGAAGCATCTGATTTAGTACTGGCTGGAATTGACCATCAAAGAAATGCAGACTTAATCGAATGATTTTTTTTTATATGTTTAAATATGCAGTAGTTTGTTTACTACATTTATGATAGAATATTATTAAAATATAATTTTGACAAATTAAATATATTTTCATATTTGAAAAAAAATATTTTAAAATATTATTCAGATCATCAAATAAGGTCACTCATATCACAGTTTTTTTTTTTGGCTAATGAAAGTAAATATACTGTGAGTAATCTATTACTGTTGAAGCTAGCATATTATGATTACGATAAACAGCTTTTCTTAAGTAAAAAATGAGGAGATTGATTTGTCAGAAACTAGATATGAAATTTCAAGTTAAAATTTATTACTGGTTATTCAAAATTTACGCTCAGCCGAGTTAGATAGAATGGGTAGAATATACATCAATATATTATTATACAATATATTATTATATTGTCTAGGACAAGGATGAGCAACCAGCGGCCCGCGGGCCGCATGCGGCCCGCCGGTGGTTTTTCTGCGGCCCGCCAAGCATTTCTCAACTACAGATTATTTTTTTATATATTTTATTAAACACGACTGTAAAGGCTAATTTTGTTGTCACTGGTAAAAACTGTTGTTCGCAGAAATAGCATTTTCTGACAAAATAAATATTAGTTTAACAATATTGCAAGAAAAATTGAGAACTTATATTGCGAAGTTTAAATCATCGTGAATTTAAAAACTTCTTGACATTTTAGAGCGTGAATATGATGATGTGCTTTTCAATACCAAAGTACGTTAGCTCAATAGTGATGCAATGCTTAAAGGAGTATACGACGAACTACAATTGTTTTTGGATATGAAAGAACAATTGTAGTACTTTTGTCAATTTGGTAATAAAAGATTTTAATTTGTGGTCAAAGCTAACAAAACAGCTGTGTTTTCATGTAAATGTTTTCTTCGCCATTAACCATGCAAAATAATACAGATTTAGAAAATTTATTTTTCCAGTAAACATCGCAATTTTTTATAATGTCAGCTCTGAGAAATTTTCGCTTTTGAAGAAAAAACTCAAATCAAATTATGATAAATTGTTTTTTTGGAAATACGTATGTGTGCGAACAATTACACAGGTCCACAAAAGCACAGTCGCTGGATAATAATTCATTCATTCAGAAAAATGCTAGATTCAAGTTTATGCCAGTTTTTAAACGTTTTTCCATATTATATATATATATATATATATATATATATATATATATATATATACTCAGCAGTAAAAGTACATCGACCCGATCCAAACAACTTTTTTTGTGGACCTGTGTTAATTTCAACCATGAAATTCATAAAAAATACCACCTATCAAAACTGAGTAAAACATATCAAAGCTGCATACGTGTTGCTACTTTCCATATTAAAAAAATAAAATAAATAACAAAATTTAAAAAAACGGCTGATATTGATCAGCTTATATAAAAAAGCAATTCCAAATTTCTTAAGTTTTCAAGTAAATTAGTTTTTCTGTTTAACTATTATTTGTTTTTATTTTGTATTTTTATTTATAAACACTTATAGTATACACTCGTAATTATATAAAATATATACTTTTTTCAATTTTGTATTTTTGTTCTTATCTTGTGGCAATTTTGTAATTCTGTTGCAGTTACATTATTCCCGCACTCAGTCAATAAATCTTTTGACCTAATTTTAGTTCAGACTTTTGAAAAAGCTTCAATTTTATTCAAAAAGAAAAATCAATTTATATTTATCATGGGTTGTACGACCGTAACAATTTTTTAAATTTTGTTCTTTATCTTTTCTTGCGGAATGGAAAACTACATACAACTTCAAATTTTCATTATTTTATAGTCATTTTAGTAGTCCAATCATTTTTTATTTAGCTCGGTAATCGATCAATTAACTATTATCGTCTTTTTTGTGAACCTTTTTAATTGAAATTCAATCAAGATTTTTCTGAGATTATAAAAAGGGTTAAATTTATCCGCTCTATTCGCTGCAATATTTTAAAACCAATTAAATTCTTAGATATTGGCAATGAAATGGTTACCTCCGATAAAACTAACTGATTTGCAGGCTTATCCTACTGCACAAATATTTTCCGATGTGCATTAAAAGTACATAGTTTTTGAATGTTTGCAGAAGGCACAATTCTAGCAAAAAAATTAGAAATTTAATATTAAAATCTGAAGATAAAACTGTTTTTGAGAGAAAACGTAAACTTATTTTCAGAGTTATTGAAATCTCACTCGTTTTGCTAAGCATAGCATAACTTAATTCGAATATGTATGTTAGTATTTTAGCGTTGTAGTGGGTAAATTATCAATGTAATATGTGTTAGCTGCCCCTTTCATTTATATACCACATATTTATACATTCAGAATTAGTCATTTCTAATACTAATGATTTTCTAAAAATATTTTCGGTGGCTAAACGTTCGCCGGGTCAGCTAGTATATATATAAATTACGTGCGGCCCGCCATAAAATTTTGAAAACCAAATTGGCCCGTGGGTTAAAAAGGTTGCTCGCCCTTGGTCTAGGATATGCATCTTATTTATTATACTCTTCTTTTACCTATGCATGCAATTATTTTTCGATTATATGTGCCGCCATCTAGTTTTGCCACAGCCATAGTAGACAATAGTATACTAGATAAATAAGCATATAGAGTGTATACAGCTTTATTAATAATAGTTTTTAACCGTAAATTGCAGGCAATTCCATAATTTCTTTAATATTATCAAAAGCTCATTTCAATTTATAGGCTTATCGCTGTATTTTACTTAACCTCGAACTCAGAAATTTCGCGCCGGTTTAGTTGAAGTTTGGCGCTCTTGCGCACAGTAAAGTAGATCATCACTTTTACTCTATCTGTCTCAAGTATGACTTCATTTTAAATAAAAATGGCGACCATGTTACATCGTGGTGTGAATTTTGCGGAAAGTTTAGTACGAAAAAATGGAATTAAGGTAATTTAGTTAATTATTTTATGAAACGAAAATAATACTATATATTATTATTTATGTGTTATAAATAATTTTGAAGTGATTTATTGTGTGAACTGAATAGTGTTGAGGCGAGAAATTTGAGGGTCAGCTGTTTAGTGAACTATTTTAACTTAATGCTATGTTCTAAAAATGTACAGTTTATTACGTGAGTTATATAATATAATTCGAAACGAATTACTAGATTTGAAATTATCGTCTGATGTAAGGGAAGCGTATGATGTCTATTAATAAATACATTACATAAATATCTTCTTTATCGAGTTCAAAATTTTACCGCATGAACTGTCAGTTTGACATTTGTGACAGCCTGTATTATTATAATTCAATTAGAACGTGTTAATAACGATAGGTTATAATAATTGTAAATGTCATCATTCTATTTAGCTACATTGATACAATTCTTAAGGCAAATATAAAAACTTGATAAATATAATGCAAATTATAATATTAATTTATTATGGAAATTTTAACTGAATATCAGATTACGTATCAAGTTCCAGAAACGTTAATTTCATTATGGAGATTATCAGACCAAAATAGTTTATGCCAATAGTATATATAACAATACACTTGTTATTTTATTAATGATTTCTTAAACAAATGTAAAAAAAAAAATTAAACTTTTAAACATTTGTTGGCTGTTATAGATTTACTATTTTTTTCCCTAAACAACTTAAAAACATTGTCAAAGTAATGTACAAAACCGCACAGTCATTATGTAAATCCATCAAAGTTCTTAAAAACTAAATTAAATGTTATTCTCAAACATCAATGCACGAAAAGTTATTAACAAGCTTCTAGTGATAGATTTTTTATGATTCTTTTTTAATATACCTAAGATATATTTTAATGTGTTTAATTGAACATATAAATCTTTGCTTTGTCTTTTTTTCTTGTTTCTAATTGCAATATAATTGTGTTTTTATTCTGTGTACATTACAAACATTATTACAATTTTTATAAAATAATTATTATTTATAGTATTCAATATTAATTCTTGGCGTGGACCTTTTTTTGTTAAATATATTGTATACAATTTCAAATAAACAAATAAGTCTGGAAATTATCTTATCTCAATTGATTATTATTAGGAGACGCACATATTAAGTTGTACTTTGATCTTGCTTATTGTTATGTATGTAACTATATATGTATATGTATATGTATATATAATATATGTACATATATATATATATATATATATATATATATATATAAATAGTCAATTATTATATATATACTAGGTGGCCCGACAGACATTGTCCCGTATCGTTATTAGTTTCAAATTTTTTAATATCTTACCCTATACTTTTTAATATCTTTTTGATGTCTTGTTTTTGTGATTTATTAATGGTCTTAGCCTAAGCAGTATAAGAAATTCAGAAAAAAATATTATAGTATCTGCCGTAAAAGAACAATATCACACTTGATTTTACCACCATAATTGTTTCAATATTTTAGTCTATGATTGTCATAATCATATAAATATATTAATTGCTGGTTGTGTTTTTTAAATACAGAGTCCGAATTCAAAAGACAAATTCGACCTTGGAGGGATAGGTTACTCTGTGTTCTCAAAGCTAAATTATTTAAAAAGCTTTTACTGACTATAACGTGCCATTATAAACCGTCCATTTTCGTACTATAAATGCATGTTATTATATTTGCTTCTAACATATTTTCGTACTCACTGATGATGACATGGAGTACTTTGCCAAAATGCCTGAAAAAATTAAGAAGCTTTAAAATCTGTACTATTTTTTTTTATTTGTTATGCTCTCCAATATTTTGTTCTACAATATAATATGTATTGTATATATTATATATATATATATATATATATATATATATATATATATATACAATATTATATATTCTACAATATATATATATATATATATATATATATAATATAATATAAAATCCATTGATGAGCATATTTTAAATATAAAGTGATCCATCTAAAATGTAAACAATGACTCAGGCACAAAAATAAGATATTTCATAAATTATTTTTTCTAGTCGCGTGACCTTTGAGTGTTCAATAACAGATAAATTCTATTTCCTGACCCAAAAATATATTTGTTTAATAACAACTGTTCGTGCCTTATCATATTTTTTTATAAAAGAAGACAATTTTGATTACGTTATTGTTTTTGTGATTTTTAGATCGAGATATAATGCTTTTTGTTAAATTTTGTAGAACATGAGAAGAATGAGTGTTTTCATTCATTTTCAGTCATTAAACGCTAATTCGAACTATTTCCGTCTATAAGTTTAGACGTATACAATAACTTTCAAAATCAGAAATTAATATTAGTGTGGGATTTATGTTAATTAGCTACGCAAATACGGGTTAGAAATTCCATTATACATTATAACATATGCATACATATACATATCGATTTAGATAAATAATTATATTGTTTCATTTCAAGTACCTATGCGTTCAGTGAGCATCAACTTCGAAAAATTAAATACACGTTGACATATTTAAAATTAATGATGGACAAGCAAATATTTAAATAATGAAATATATTTATTTGCAATTTATTAGATTCAATATGAACTTCTTCTTCCCAACTTGTACATATTTTGTTATTTACTCAAAAACAACTGTAGTTATTACATCACTCTTTTATTCGAATAATAATCCTTAAACTTAACCCTTTGAGTGCTAAAGTTTAAACAGTTCCAATATTTAATTATATGAAAATTGACAAAAAATCTATATCCATAACGAATATGCATAGGTGCATGTAAATATATTTGATCATATATGATAAGATTTTGAAATGTAAAGATTTCGAAAAAATATTGTTTCTTTTTATTTGTGAATTTAATATCTCTATAAACGGTTTGGGAATAAAAATTCTAGTAATTTATTATATATTACACGAAGTATAATTGTTATTAAAATAATTAGTGCAAAGATATTAGTTCAAACATAATTACCCGAGCATACAGATCATTTTCCTTTGTTTATTCCCTACAAATTTAATTTACCTTAGGAGATTGCAATGTAATATAATTATAAAAAAATGTATGATAAATATATGCATGAATATATTAAAATAAATTTAGTTTAAAACGAACAAAATAATAGCAATTTTTTTTTTTTTTTTTTTGAAAAAGTATTGAATCTATCAATATTAATTTTAATGTAACATTAAATTGAATAAGTAATCTATTAATATCATTAATATAATATAAATATCTACTATATATATATCATTTATATTAAATCATTTTATTTAAGTTTTTACTTTTATTATAAATTATCGCCGCCAGTCTTTAGATATCTTAAAATACCTTATTTTTGAATCAGTTAACTGTGGCGTACTCATTGTACTTTGCGCACAGTTTTGTCATCAGCCTGATAATACATTTATTTCTTATAATACTTGTATTATACAGTAAAATTATATTTTGAGGTAGAATGCCACTTAAAAATATGTATTTTGTACTGGCATATTTTCGCAATATTCTAAACATCTTTAATATTTGAGTTTTTTTTCAATCGTTTAAATTTTAATAGCAAATTGTCACTGTGTTATACGCATGACGAATAAACTTGTCATGCTGCCATTTCTTTATTGCCAGTATATTCATCAATCACAATTAACGCGTTGAGGCCGCTGACGGTCCCTAAGGACCATCAACTTTCCGTTTGTTTGGCATCGTTCTCTGGAGACCGACAGTTAACTTACCATATGACTGCCGTCGGACCTGAGAACCGGCACCAGAATTTCTTTTTGGAAAATCTGTGTGATCGACAGTATTAAGAAATAAAATTATTCCTAATTAATTTCGGTTCCATATAATTTTAATAAAATATTGAATGAAAGATTTTGAGCGAGTTTCCATACAGAATTGGCCCCACCCTGGTATTTAAATAATTTTGATGCCGTTCTAAAACCTTAAAATTTTATATTTATTTTAAAATGCAATGCAATTTAGGAATAATTATATGAAATATTAATCACGTAATATATTTGTGCATTTTAAAATAAATAATAAATTTTAAGATATAAAATTGAAATTGAAATAATTTATTACACACATACAAATATATAGAACAATATATAAATAAATAAATAAATATTTTTATTATATGCTTACAAAAATATAAAAATATTTAAAATATAAATGTACATATATGGTACTTTACTAAGCGTTTTACATAGAATTGTTCAATATATAGATTTTGTTACAAAACGCGCGCTGCGAACACTCGAGCAGTGATCTAACTGCTCTGCTCGCCTTTGCAATTGAGAGAAAACTTACGCGGCTATTCTATGAGCGCTAGCGTGTACTTGCTCAAGTTTTTTCAAGTTTTGAATGTGTTCTACCACATGGACTAAAACTAAATTTTGCACAGCATAAGAAAAAAGAATAGCCATTCTAACGATACTAATTAAAAATTAGTCCAAACAACCGTCCAAAATTTGTAACAAAAAATTGTTTTGACTTTTTCATAAACTAACAAATGATTATTTAACAATATTTGTTATTAACAATATAGTCCACACCTATGTGAATATAATCCCGTTATTTGTTTGTCGATATCTTTTACAGTTGCGACAAAAAACGACTTTGAAAAAAGGGGCCACTTTCGGATATTTTCAATGATATCTCGGGCAAATGATGAGCTACGGATTTGAGATTTGGTATTTCGGATTTTTTCGAAAAAAGCTATAAAATGGCATCAAAAGCATTTAAATACCAGGATGGGGCCAATTCTAAACAAAAATGTGGTACGTCGTAAACATTGCCGACCGTTCATCATTGCCGGCTGAACGAAAAGTTGAGCAAATTCGGCGCCGGGGCTCAACGTGTTGACTGGTTAAAATTTATAGGGTATTTTATAGCAGAAAGACTTTGTTCACTTTCGAATACAATGTTTTGAACTGTTAAAATTTATATATCTTTTTACTTTTATACAAAAAATTTCAGATTTTATCCGTAGCACCATGGCAAAACACCCAAACACGAAAGCTCAATGTCTTGGAGCATATATCCTTCAGCATTTTGCAGGAAGGTGGCATACCGACACCTCCGTAAGTAAATTCATAGGCATAAATATCAATAATAGTTAAACATTTGATTTAAAAGTTGTTTTATCACAGATTTGGCGTGGCAAAATCATCAGCTGAAGCAGCTAAAATAGCTACGGATTTGAAAACAAATGACATTGTACTCAAAGCACAAGTTTTGGCTGGTGGTAGAGGGAAAGGCCAATTCAAATCGGGCTTGAAAGGCGGCGTTCGAATGGTTACAACGTAAGTTTGAGTCTCTCGCTTTGTATTAATATAATATTTAATAATGCTTGTTTTTTACTTTTTTATACGCTTTTTACAATGTAAATCGAGGCTATCAATAGTTTGAACATTTAAAATTATATACTTAGTTGATGAATTAAAGCTGCCTACAGACTTGTTGAAGACTAAGAACTGAATGAAGTTAATTTCATTTATTTATAACAATCAGAGTCAAATTGTATTCTATGTTTCAATGATAAAGCGGATATGACTTATTCTAGGACATAACTTTGGGAGATGAGTTAAATCTTCGGAGTATTTCAAGAAGAAGTAGTAAAAGTCTCATTGTCATGTCAAAGTCTCATTTCTCTGATGATGATTTCACTTACACTCACATATCTTTCTATACGGAGAGATTCTATACACAATTACAAACGCAGAATCAAATTCAATTTTTTAATTATTTTTAAAGAGAAAATATCAAGTTCTTACATTGTTTTTTTATGAAAATAATGTTGTCAACTTTATGCATTTAATAAGAACAAAATATTTATAAAATATTTTAATTATACATCACATTCCCTTTCTACCATTTCTATTTTGAGGATTAAGTATATTTTGAGAATTAAGTATATTGGGTAGTTTGATCAGCATACTATTACTTTTATAATTATAATTGCATTTATTATTTATATAATTATAATTGTGTAAAAGTAATAATATAATACTAAATATTTTTGCTGTTTGTATACCATTTAAAAATAACTGAATTGAAAAAATCACTGATAAGTTTTGCAAACTGTTGTATAGTTATTTTGTTCCATAGAAAAAAACAAATTAACTGCATTTGTGTTATTTCTGGTATGTATATGATATTCCTGCTTGTGGTCTTTCACGGACAAAGATTATTGTAGCTTTGAATGTGACCCATAATTGTAAATGTCTTTACATCGTGTTAACAGATCTAGGATCAATGTATGAAACTTGGATATAACCAATTCTCAGTTATAACTTCTCTCTGAGTTACCCAACTCTAATATAGTTATATGTATGCACCAATATGTATATATATATATATATATGTGTGTGTGTGTGTGTGTGTGTGTGTGCTAATTCGAAGAAATATGCGACCTAATATCCTGGCGTATAAATATAAAATTCCTATCCTTACCGAACAGCGTTCACGCGAACACATTTTTTGAGAAAAAAAATCACCTTACTTTTTCAGGCCAGAGCAAGCAGAAAAAATATCTTCAAAAATGATCAACCAAATATTAGTAACTAAGCAAACAGGTGAAAAGGGTCGGATATGTAATTCGTCATGGTCACAGAAAGAAAGTTTCCCCGAGAATAATACTTTTTGGCCGTTATGATGGAGCGAGCTTTTTCTGTAAGTTTCTATATTATTATGTAGATAGTATTTAATAATTACCCATTAAT